GAAGGAACGAAGGAACGATGGCAGGAAGGAAGCAAGGAAAGCAATATTTTACATCGCAATATGGAGAGGTTGTGTCGAGTCGTTGCCAACAACTGACATGTTGATTTTTCAACCAAATGGCATCAAGAAGAAGGAATGGCGTTCGCTACATCTACATCACCAAAATCGTCATCATATAGATATATCTCTCCTTACCTCACTACAACATCATGGTTTTTAATCATCTCTTCAAGTTTGTCTGGTGAATGTTGAGCATTCAAAATGACAGGTGTCGTGTTGACATATTTGGAAGCAAGTGCCTCGGCTTCCGAAATTATATCAGAGGCTGGAATTAGAATAAAAACCAGAATTGAAGTTAGTACAAAGAAAGAAGAACGGTAACCTTGACAGTTCTTTCTCTCTAATAATAAAGAATTTGAGCATCTTGTTTACGGCAAATGTGAAATGTTATTTGATTCTTCAGAATTAGCAAAAAGGAATGGAATAAAAATATCTTCAAGTAAAATATACTTTAAATAAAAGGATGTTTGTCTTTGCAGGGAAATGATGAAAATGTGTGCGTTTGCAGAAAGAAAAGGCGTGATGCTTAACCTGTCTGACGCTCTTTCCCCAGGAACTCGATGGTGCGATTTTTTGCAACTCTTTCGATCAGCACTCTTTCAAGGTGCCGTAATACCGGCCACAAGACAGTGCGTGGAGGAGTTTAAGAGCGCAATTTTTGTCATTTGCGCACCAAATTTTCTTTGTTGTGAAAAGTAAAGAAAGGTTGTCGAAACAAAACTTGTTGTGCGCAGATTTACTCTGCCATTCGTGACGATCATAATAATGACGTGACAAGTTTATCTTCCTCAGGAGAACAAGATCCAAACCAACATCAGTAAGAACATCCTCAGTAAAGGAGGAGTGAGAAGACGAAGAACAATTGTAGGGAAAGACAAGGCTGAGAGGGAGAGAGCATGATAGAGTTAAGCTCCAAGCACTCAGGATAGATATACTCACCAACAGTAACTGCAACAGTTTTGTCTTTCGTAAGATACTCAATAACTGGGCCTGCAGTCATACCACAGCCAAGAACAAGTACACGTTTACTTATTGGTACAGAAACATTGGGTCCAAGTGCTCTGGTCTTAGCCTCTTCCATTCTAAAATACACAGGAAATACAGCAGTTGGTCGGTGATATTAATTTTAGCGACATTTAGCTAAGATATTTTTATGCATTGTTACAGGGTTTTCAGTGCGACACGCCTAACCATGGCCAGCCAAATTATTTTTTTTACTATAGTTAGCCAATCAGATGGCGAGAATTTGTGCATTTGCACGTGAAATCACTCAGCGTATATTCATAGTTATTTCGTACTCTTTGCAACAAAACATTAAATAAATGACTAGGAATTTGCCTAGGGGATACTTATTTTGGTCCCTTTGCTGGCTAACACTAGACTCTTTTGCAAAAAGTCTTTTAAATTGATGGCATTAGTAAAAGAAAGTCGATGCTGTTATCCAATAAATTTATCCACTGGATAAGATTTATCCGTCGGATAGCGCTATCCAGGCTTCATACAACCGGGCACAGACCATTCTCATTTTAGGCAAAACGCATCCTCATCAGTGGCATAATGAGAGTCCCAGAGTTGGGCAAATGCAAGCATTTTGGCGCGATAGTTTCCCGCCGAAATCTATACAGGAGCTACATCAGTATAAGAAAAGGAGGGAGGAAACTTAGTTACAATAAAAACAATTCGAACCTTTTTCTAAGATCAGCAATGTACTTGAAATTAGGAGTGAGTTCACCATTTGATGTTATAATGGCCTAAGAACATAAAAATGAAATTTAAGTAAATTTCAAAACCGGAGTTTTTTTTGTTCAGTACCGAAAATGGAGGGTGAAAGAAATCTTGTCAAGTCTCACTAACCAGATGCTAAAGTTTAAGTACATACATGTATATGTCACACTACACACTGACCACGACTCTCGACTCACATGTTGGTTTTGTGTGTGGGGGGGATGGATAAACTGGAGAAAGCCCTAGAGCTAGAGAACAACTTTTCAAACAAAACCTATTCACTTGGCATCAATCTGACCTGTAGGACTCTCAGTAGTGAAAGACAAGTTAATATTGACACTTTAGATCACCCTTAAAATAACAATTTTAGAACTTACATTTTTTATAGTGTTTGACAGATGAGTCTGTTTTTCAAAGGGATCTGTGGCATGGCTGTCAATCTGTCAGATAATAAGAAGAATCAGTAATGGTTATGGTAGTAACGATGATGATCAGGGACTGAGAAGAGGGATGATGATGATGATGATTATGATGATGATGATGGTGCTGATTGAAATGGTGATGGTTATAGTGGTGTGTTGTAGAGAGGTTGGAAAGGTGCTGATGATAATGGTGTTGATGATGGTGGGGATGATTATGTTGGTGCTGTTGCTGATGCTGATTGAGATGGTGATGATAGTGATGGTTATGGTGATGTGGTGCAGAAGGTGCTGATGGTGATGGTGTTAATGATGATGCTCATGATAATGTTGGTGCTGTTGCTGATGCTGATGCTGATTGAGATGATGGTGCTAATGGAGCTGATGGTGCTTGTGCTGCTGCTGCTGCTGATGCTGACAATGGTACTGGTGATATTGCTGATGATGAAGAAGGTGCTGATGATGATAGAGATGATAATAATTTTTGCCCCTCCTAGAGCACAAGTTCTACTGTACATCCATGGCAAAAAAGGTTCGTAAAAATGGTATAGTTGTATTTAAAAAAATCAAATCACAATCAGCGTACCATTTCTGGTATCCATGGCAATAAAAGCTTTCCAAAGTAGTCTGTTGCCTCTCTTGGTAATTGTGCAGGAAGATTATCGATGGAGCAAATCAGCACTCCATCTCCAGCCATTCTAAACATAAAAGAAATACTTTTTTGTGAGCATAATATGAATTTTTTTTAATGTTTTTGCCTGCAAGATGCAGGCACTACACAATTAGATAGCCTGCAATGCAGACATTCTTGTGGGTTTGGGGAGAAACCGGGGTTTTGGGGGGAAATTTGGAATGGGAGAGAATTGAAACCAAGCAAAAAAAGAATGTTCCCTTTTTTTGCTAAGCCCCATTTTTCTCTCGGGGACGTGGTTGAAACAGGAACCCCAAAACCCAGATTCTTCCTCAAACCCATCACAAGAACGCCTGCTCTGCAGGCTACTACACAATAGAACCCAAGGTCTGTTTAAAAGATAGATTTTGTTGATTCCCAACCCCATTAAAATCCCCATTCCCATATGACAATAATCAATCCATTCAGTGGAGGGAGGCAAGATAGTTTCTGCCATTCACTGAGGGTGGTGTTACTGCCAGTAGTTCTTCGAGGCATCTCTGATGCAGGGTTTAAGGTGGTGTTGAGAGACAGGACTACCCTTTTACATGCCTGGTCATTACTGATAATAATATTTTTAAAGCTCATACCACTCTTCCTCTATCATGATGAGAAACTCAAGTAGAAATCCTTAGGAGAATGGGTCAAGAAGAAAAATTTGCATTTTTGACAGGTGGGAAAATTAGTTATGAATAATACAGTGCATTACTGACCCAATTTGTGATGTTTCATTCTTGATGTCATACAAATGGAAGGGATATTCAATTGTCGTACATTYTGTCATGAACTCAAGAGAACCCTGCGATTTGATAAGAATACAATAGTCATTATTTGCAAGCAGTTGTTCAGCAAGTCTAATTTATGCCACACACATATATGCCAGTCAAGTAAGGGGGAGCACTGGGCCCGGTTGTAYGAAAGGTGGATAGCACTATCTGATAGATAAACCTTTATCCAGTGGATAAGACAATGCTGTTATGCAATAAATTTATCCAATGGATAAGATTTATCCATCAGATAGCGCTATCCACCCTTCATACAACAGGCCCCTGGTGGGGTAATAGCGAGAGCACTTGCCCTTCACCAAGGCAATTCTGGTTTGATTTCAGGACTTGGTGACGTCATATGCGAGTAAAGTTGCTTGTTTGGTTCCTATTCTATCATGTGTTTTATGGGATTTGCTCCATTTTTCCTCCCAAAAAAATGGACTTCTATTTAAACTTCCATTTGGAATCCATTGGAAGAAGACTCTATTGAAGCACCTATTAATTCACATTTAATTTTATTCATTCATTTATGGATCAGCAGTCTGTATGTTACTTAAAGGGGGACTAGCTAGCATGAAAATAATCCAAATTTTAATTCAGCTAAAACTTTACTGGAATAACCCTTAAAGGTCTAATAATCACTGGTTAAAGTTTTTTCCTGATATTTGGATGGGAAGTATTATACTTTTGCAAATTTTTATAGGAATATGTGACATGCTAGATTTACGTGCTAGTCCCCCTTTAAGTATAGGCTATCTGTTGGCTAATCGGTATTGGTCATTTGTCAAACCTATTTACACTGTACACCTGTCATAAAGTATACCACTTGCTCAATAACAACACTGATGCCATTCTCTACAACTTAGCAAGCATCTTCTAGTCAGACAAAAAGTGCAACTCAAGTCTAATAACAGCTCATCAGACATAACCCTGAATCAAACTTTTAAAAGTGATAAGACATTGAATTACCAAGTTTCTAAAGTTTCTAATCCTTTCAAACTTACCGCAGTGTCAGCAGAGATATCACATATTGCTAAGAGTCTGTGGGGTAGATTTGGACAGCCATCATAAGCACTTGTCCTAGCCATGGGCTTGAGTAGATTCTTTGCATCATCGTAAGTCAAAAGACGAGGAATCCCTGGTGCCCAATAGGTCCCATTAACCAAACATGACATGTATGGAGCCACCTTGATAAAATTAGATTAAAAATATATGTCACTGATATTAAATAGGGAAATTAAGTTACTGCAGTTTTCAATGTCATTGCAATATTAATA